TATCGGCGTCTTTTAAAATTCTTCCGACTCGGCCGCGCAGCCGCGCACCTCCACACGGAGCCGCCACCCGTCGCCGCCCCCCGTCGCCGCCAGCAGACTCATTCCGAAGGGGAGGTTTTGTCGGCCTGTCTCTCTCACACCTATACGGAACGCCCCATGAGAGCGAGCGAGCGAGAGAGAGACCTCCCCCTCGGAATCAGCCAGCAGACCCGCGGAGAGTAAAACTCCTGCGCCAGCACCACGATAAGACGGCGGGGAGGAGCAGAGGGGGTGGGGGGTGGGGGGGGGGGAGCCTTGGCGGCGCGGCGCGGGGCAGGGCTTTACGGAGGCGCACACGACTTTTTGATGCCGTGTAAAAAATGGCGGGAGGTGCACGCCAGCAGCAGGGTGATGACCCGGCTCCACTAGGCTCCACCACCACGCCGTACGCAGCACGAAGTAGAGACTGCGTGGAGAGATGGCGAACTAGGCCGTGCCGGAGGCCCACGGCCCGCACGGCGTCAGCGCGCGAGCCGTGAGTATTCCGGACGTGCAGCGCGGCGGGCGACGCGGGCCGCGTTATGTAAACTATCATTGCCGACGGCGCGACGGCGGGTTATCCAATCTTCATGAGTCGTCCACGCCGTCCCGAGGCGATGGTGCCTAAGTCTCATTTCCAAAGGCCCCCGACACAACGCCTCCACCTACGCGCTCGGCCTCCGCCCTGCCGCCACCCCCGTCCGACGTGGAGCTACGTGGAGCCCGCCCTCCGGACATGTCAATATTAGCCCCGTGCGATGCCGCCATGGCGCGATGCGATGCCTCTTACTCTCGCGACCCCGCCGTCGGCCCCCTCTTTCTCTGCCCTCCCCGCTCGCCCCGCTGTCATTGACAAACAACTAGCAAAGTTGCACAACCACCGCCCCCTCGGCCCCCCGCTCCGCACCCTAGTTACTGTGTCTATTTATTTTCAGCCTGAATTTTGATTAGAGCACGAAAAAAAGGGACAGCCGTTAACGGCGCGGCCAGCGCGGCGAGGGCCGGCCGAGTCGGGCCGGGCGGTCCGATCGCCGTGATGGGGTTGTTGTCCCGGCAGACGCATTATTCTCAGTCCAGCGGAGCAGGAGGTTATTCGCAGTCAGGTTACGCGAGGCTATAAAACCGTATAAAAATAAAAATAATGACAGCCGCCTGCTGCCCCGCTGCACGCGGCAAGGCAGGCCTGAGAGGGAAGGCCTGGCTTCTTTTTTCTGTCTCTGCGATTCGCCGTCGTACGCCGTCGTACTGCGCGGGGAGGGCCGGGAGGTGAAGAGTGGGCAAGCGAGTGCGACTATGAAACGGCGAGCGAAGGGTGCGACGGGTGGCGCGGGGGCGGTGCGGGGGCGGCGTGCCTCTCGAAACCATCGTAATATGCAGAGGCACTCTCACAGCCAATATTGGCCGGGGGACCAGCCTCTCCGAACGGACGACTTTTATGAGACACTCTTCTTCTGGGCCGGGCCGCCCAGGGCCGCCGGCCGCGCCAGCCGCGACACTTTTACTGCGTACGAATCGGTCCGGACGACGGCGAGTGTCGATTACCGGCAATCCCCGGCGACGGACGGGCGGGGCGGGGCGGGGCGGGGTGGCGTGGCGGGGCGCGACGCGGCGCGGGCCAAGCCGCCGCGGGGCGCGCGGCAAATAGGCAATCTCGACGAGGAGGCACTTTGTGGCGTCCTCGGCGCTGGAAGTCGGCGCGCCCTGTGGCGTGGCGGCGTGGCCGTGCGCCCGCGTGGCGTCGTATGAGGAAAGTACAAGGCGGCCTCGCAGGACCCAAACAAGGCCGCGCTGATGGACACGCTGCCCACACGGCCCGCCCCACCCTGCGCCGCCCTACGCGCTCACCGTCCTGCCCTTGCAGCCCACGCGGGTACAGCCTGCTCATTTGGCTCCGGCGCTTGCAACTTTGTGCGGCCGGCAGGCCGATTCCGAGCACTGTCTGTCTCTCTCGCACCCCAAGGGAGTCGCTCCGTGAGTGCGAGGGCGACAAAGAACCCTTCGGCGGCAGCCCGCAGCCGCCCCGCCGACCGACCTCCGACCCTCTTGGCACCGTTCCATCAGTCTGCAGAGGTCAAGGTTCGGGGTTCGGATTCCCGCACTCTCGACCCCGGCACTCCACTGACTCCACTCTCTGTTGCGGCGGTGTGCGGGCGGACTCGCTGGCGCCACGTCACGTGCTCGTCGCGTCCTCGTCACGCCCACGTCACTTCCACGTCACGTCCTCGTCGCTCCAGGTCGCTGCAGGTGACACGTCAATGGCGTGGCGCCGCGCCGCACTGCAACAGGCAGCCCATCAAAGGGCACTCGCTCGGCCCCGCGTCCGCACTGTGGAAAAAGTGTGAACCGAAATACCACGCGTTGGTTGACTTGTGCACGTGGATCTTAGGTGAAAAAGTTTCATCCGACTAATCCACTTAGATCCACGTGGATGGAATGTGGATTTTACGTAGATGTTCCCACGGGGGTGTAGGGTACTTTCCTAGCAGTCGGTGTGACAAGTAAATTTCAGCAAAGTCAACTCTAAGCTTCTTATTGGTCAGTTTTGGCCGTGCGCTTCGCATTCGTTTATTCCGCGCTTTTTCTCCGCTTTCCTTTCCAAAGGATCCAATGAACGCGTGCACCGCTGGATGCCGCCGAGCGGTCCCGACGAGCCGCGCCGTGGCTCCGTCTCTCTCGCACCGCTCCGGGACGCCCCGCGAGTGCGAGAGAGAGGAGAGCGGCGCGCGGGATCGGATCGGCCCGCTGGATGGACGTCGGGGGACGCGGACTAATGTGGCGATAAAGCCGAACGAACGCCGCGCCGCGCCGGCCCGGCCGGTCCGCGTCCCGGCGGGGCTGGGGCTGCCGTGTGTCTGCGCGCGATTCGATTCGATTCCGATTCCGATTCGATTCGACCATTTTATTAAAACCAGCAGCGCGCCAAACACACGGGGGGACGACGACGGGGCGTGCACTCGACGCGATGCTGTGCCGAATGCCTTTTCGAGCAGCTCGCCTCGCAGAGAGTTTGACTAAAAATTTCCTTCTTTTTATTTCTCGCCCATTAATGTTCCGTGCATCCAGTGCGCGTCCTCTTGGTTTCCATTGGCGGGGCGCGCCTGCTCGCCGTGCCCTGCTCGCCGTGCCCTGCCCCGACGCGTGCGTGCGTGCGCTGCAAATGCTGCAAATGCTTCATTGCGTGTTTGACCGGCCGGCCCTCGGCCCGCGGCTCCAGCCCCCTCTCCGTTTCCGCCGCAGGCCCCGACCGCCCCGACCGCCCCGACCGCCCCGACCGCCCCACATGGGCCGCCGGCCCGCCTTCCGATCGGAAACTGTGCGATAAGGATCTCGCGTGCGCCGACCGGCCGGCCGGCCGGCCGAACAAAACGCTCATCTCCCCCCGAAAAAGCACACACCACCATGTGATAAAAAGAAAACAAAGATCCGCGGGGATCAAAATTAATAAACCGCGTGCTTGCCTTCCATTAAGGCTGGCCACTTTTTCCCCCGGCAGGCTCGGAAGGAAGCTGCCGCCGCAACGCCGCGCGCTGGAGCATGCGAACGAGGCACTGCTGGCGGAGGCCGCCACCCGCAGCACTGCCATCCGCACAGCAGCAGAAACAGCAGCAGAGCAGCAGAAACAGCAGCAGCCCGCCCACGTCTGTGGCGGTTCCTCGCGGTTCCCTGCGCACTTTTTGGCGGGAAGTGCACGCCCCCTGCCGCCACGCCGCCACGCCGCCACGCCCCGGGCCGAGTCATTGTCCCCGTTCTCAATTCAAGCTAATTGTACCCCGAGAGGTGTCCCCCCCCTCCCCCAGCGCTCGGTTGAAACGCGCTCCAGGGAACGTGGGCGTGTGCAGCTCCTCAAAGGAGACACAGCCACGCCGCCGCGCCGATAGTGCTTATGTCGGTAGTCGTAATGGGGCGTCGTCGGGGTGATTGGCTTTCGCGGCGCCCCTCCCGGCCCCTCCACCCCCAGGACCTCCCCCGGCCTCCAGGACCCTCCAGGACCCTCAGGACGCGCGCGCGGTTTTTCCAGGACGTGGCAATTACGCCGACAACGAGGCTTGTGTACAGTGTATGGGACTCTGGAACGCCTCGCTACGCCTCGCTTGGAGCACCTCGGTCGAATGAGAGGCAGCCAGGTGGAGCCGCGGCCACAGCCACGGCGACGGGGATCGTCAGCGCGAATCAAGCCTGCCACCACACCGCTTCAACCAGTCATTAGGAATGGGCTCAAGCGAGGAGGCGTCGCTCTTTGAACCGGGGGACTGGGGTTCGACACCCGGCGTTTGACTAATTTTCTAAAGTCAGTCCGGGGCACTTGACCTCAAAAGTTGGTGTCGGTGGGGGCTCTCCATTGCCGTGGTGGTGACTTGCTCAAACGGGTAGACGAACATTGTGGAGGTGCTATACCGGTGTAATCTAGAGATGAATAGTGTCTTGCTACCCGTCTTGCGAGTCGCCACATCGTCCCCCGCCCCTGGAGGCCCCACGGGGGCCCCGCCCGCCGGCCGGGCACGCTCCAGGCGCGCCCCAGCACACGCCCCGGCCCCGGGCCGCTCGGGGGCCGCTTGCCCGCTTGGGAGGCGGCTCACGTTCGGACATGGATAACCACCGGGCCGGCCAATCGAGAGTCCTTCTGCCTCGCCCGGCCTCGCCCCTCGGACTGGCTTTGGCGCTCACTTTCGCACCCCCGGCCCTCGGCCACCCTAGGCCAACACGGCGCGCAGTCTCCGCCTGAACCACCCTCGAGGGCGTGCTCACTGCCGGCGAGAGGCGCTGGCCCGCCGGCGACTCCAGGGTCTTCGACCGGAGGAGCAACACCCTTCGGCCTTCGCTTGCTTCGCCCCCACGCCGCCTCCGACGGCGGCTTTATGAAAGCACGGCGGGGATGTTGAGCCGAGAGGCCAAACCGAGAATCGCAATAACTCGCCGCTTTCCCCCTCCACTCCCGCGTAAAACGGCGCCGAGCAATGCGAGTGCGTGAAAAAGGAACTCACCTGAAAGTAGAGCACGATCTTGCACAGCGCCGTGCCCATGAACCACGTCTCCGTCACGTCCCAGATGACGGTGGGCGGCAGGCACACCAGGATCACGAGGAAGTCGGCCACGGCCAGGTTCACGATGAAGTAGTTGGTGACGGTGCGCATGGTGTGGTTGCAGTACACGGCCACGCACACGAGCGCGTTCCCCACCAGCCCGCCGACGAACACCAGGGCGTGCAGCCCGATGAAGAACCACTCCAGCTTGGAGGGGAAGATGTAGTCCACGATCATGTCGACGTAGTGCTCGTCCGGCACGCAGTAGTCGTTGGTGCAGTTCTTGTAGTAGGTGAAGTTGTCCTCGTCCAGGCCCTGCACGTCCACGGCGGGCGGCGGCGTGTCCAGCTCGGTGTCGTTGGCGGCGGCCACGTCGGGTACCTTGACAGGGGGCGCGCTGGGCAGCCAGACGTGGGTCTCGGCCGTGCCGGGGCGGCGCGGCGTCGTCGTGGGGGTGGACGTCGGGGCGGACGTGGGGGCGGCTTTGGGGGCGGCGGGTGACTTCAGCACACTTGTCCCAGCTGCTGCAGCCGTGCTCGTGCTGCGCGCGGTGGTGAAGGTCGGGGCCGAGGTCGGGGCCGAGGCCGGGGCGCTCGATGACATATCAGCGCCATCGGTAGCGCGGCCTCCCCCCGCCGAGGACGATTTCAATGCAGCTTTTTCAGCCAGAGGACTTGTGCTGGTGGCCTTGACGGAGGTTGCGTTTGTGGTGGCCGTGGTGGAGGTGTTCGTGGTGGCCGTGGTCGTATTGGTGGCGGTCGTGGTGGAGGCCGTGATGGAGGCTGTCGTGGAGACCGCGGTGGAGGTCATCGTGGTGGTGGCGGCCGTGGTGGAGGCTGGCACTGAGACCGCGGTGGACGTTAGAGGAGGGCCCGGAGTTTGAGGGTATGGCCCCGAGGACGAGGAAGACAGGTGGGACGTCGTCGTTGGAGCTGTCCCCGTGGCGTTGGAGGCCGTGCTGGAAACCGAAGCTGCTGGTGAGGGTGGCGGTGGGGGCGCCGAGGCCGATGGTGCCGAGGCCGATGGTGCCGAGGCCGATGGTGCCGAGGCCGATGGTGCCGAGGCCGATGGTGCCGAGGCCGATGGTGCCGAGGCCGGTGGTGCCGAGGCCGGTGGTGCCGAGGCCGGTGGTGCCGAGGACGCCGGGAGGGCGAGGCCGCAGCCAGGGCCGTTGGGGTCCAGGTGGGCGAGGAGCAGCAGCAGGGACAGCGTCCAGGGACCCCTCACGGCCTTCACGGCAACCTTCTTCATGGCGACGGCCTTCATGGCGACGGCGCGGCACGGCCCTCGTCACCCCTTGTCCAGTCCGAACACCGAGCCAGCCATCTGGAACACGACAACCGAACTGTCAGGACGAACGAACGGCAGGGGAACGCCGAAAGCCAAACCCCAACCCCCTGCCGCTTGCTGCCGCTGTGCTCTGTGCTGCACGCGCAGCGCGCACCCAGGCGGCCAACAACGACAAAGTATGTACGGCTGTAAACGTGTTACAGCCTTGTCAATCCCGCGATGTCTCCGGCATGATAGACCGCCGGGTCCGGGGCGGACCTTGCTCTGGTCCTGCTTGGCCTCCGATTGCCAAGATCGTAAACCGACAATGTCGGTGCGGGGTGGCGGGGCGGGGCGGGGCGGCAGGGGCGCATCGACAGCGTGCGATACACGGGGTGGGGCGGGGCGGGTCGGGGCGCCATCTCCAGACGGCGCGGCGAGCCAGTCAGATCCGAGTCAGATACGGCCCGCGAAGCGCGAACAGGAGAAAGTTGATATGGACGTGCTTGCGCGTGCTTGGGGGTAACGGGGGTCGTTCCTCCGGGGCCATAACTACATCGGAACTCCATCTCCGCGGCGCCAGGGGCCAGGGCGGGCCAGGGCGGGCAGGCTGGAGGCTGTGGGGCACGGCCGGGCACGGCCCTGGAGAGCAGCATGGAGGGCAGCCTGGACGGCGCGGCCGTTCCTGTTAGCAGGCCGACAGGGGCTGTTGTATCTGGCCCTCGGAGAGCTAGGGCCGCCCTCGCACTCACACTCCATCAGCCAGCGGGCCGGCCGCCCAGCCCGGCCCCCGCGTCCCGTTTCCCGAGGGTATCGGCACGGAAGGGTTCAGGCCCATAATCTGCCAACAACTACTCCGGGATCACTGGAGAGGGCGTCCAGCAGTCCGGCCCGGCCCATGGCAGGCGGGCTGGAGCGGGCTGGCGCGGCGCCAGGGCCGTGGGGGGCGTCGGAAAGCGCGACGAGCGTGCCGTGTGCCGGGGACAGGGAAGGGGGAGCTAGGGGATGGGGAACACACTCTGGGCCCGTCGCCCGAGGCCGGTTGACCAAGAGGCTCCTGCCTGATGCGGACTCCCAGCAGTACAGCCCCGTATCATCGCCATCAACGACGGCATCACTCAGCATTCCCCTTCCACCGCGTTTCCCATTCGCACACAGAAAAGGCGACGGCAAAGAAAAGAACGGCCATCGGCGGCGCACGGGGAATGACCGTCGATCCGTTTCCGGACGCGGTCCCCGGCCTGCCGGGCCTGCCGGGCCTGCCCACGCGTGGTGGCGCGCCCGCCGAACTCAATTAGAAAATTACTGCGGCAAAGCCGGCAGGGCGCCGAGCGGCCAGACAGGGCGGACAGAGCGGACAGGGCGGACAGAGCGGACAGGGCGGACACGGCGAACCCAGTGAATCTGAATCAGTGTGAAATGGCTCACGTTCAGTGATAAGCGCGCGCGTCGCGTTTCGGCTTCAGCGGCCGGGCTAACTGGGCCAGCAAGCCAGCAAGCCAGCAAGCAGCACACACCCCCGCCCCGCCGCGCCGCGACGACTGGGCCGTCTGGGCCGCTTGCCACAGTTTCGGGGCGAATGTGGAGCGCGTGGGCGCGGCAGCTTCCGTCGCTCTGTCTCTCTCGCACCGATGGGACGTCCCGAAGGCGTGCGAGAGAGACAGAGCGAGGCGATTGTTTGGAATCGGCCTGCAGCACTACCTCGGCCGGGGCGCCCCGCTGGGAGGCATGCCGTTGGAGGCAAAAACGATCCGAGGCGCCGATTAGAACGCTGAGGCCTGCCGAGGCCCCACGCCGCCAGGGTTGCAATAACGCCCGACATGAGGCTCTGGAGACAGACCAAGGCACAGCGAGCAGTCTGCAGCACGCCCAGCACGGCACACGGTGGGCCAGAAGGCCGCTGCGGAGCTGGCCAAAATTCGAGACGCGTTTTGAGCTCCAGAGTCGCTAAATGGGACTCGAACAGAACGTGTGACCCCACCAATGGGTTGCTCTCCGAACGGCGCCTCCACCGGTCTTCTGGCCCACGTGCGGCAGCGGGACTGGCTAAAGCGAGCTAAAGCTAAAGGCCGCGCAAACACTCCAGTGGACTTAACCTGTCCGCGCGGATTTACAACGACCTATAAACCGGGGCGCTACCTGACCCGTAACCTAGCCGGACCCAAAAGGGTGCGCGACGGCGCGACACCCTGTTCGCCGCCGGACGCGGGGCCACCGTAAACAAAGCTCACACACTGCCCCCCCCCCTCCCTTTTCCCCGGGACTTATACACTGTCACGCCACCCTACCTGTAACCAGCATGCCCCGCAGTGCTCCCAAGAGGAAACTCAAGAGTTCTCTGGCGCGTGATTCCGAAGGGTCTTGACGTCGCTCCGTCCTCGCAACCCCACGAGTGCGGCAAAGACAGAGCGACGAAAACGATCTGCGGACCGTGTTTTGCTCCGCAGCCCTTCACTCGGGCCGGGCCGGGCCGGGCCACTCATCACATCGACTCGGCGGCCAAATGAAATGAAATGAAACGAAATGGAACGAAACGAAACATGCTCGGCGTCGCATTCGCGGCACGCCTCATTCCAAGTTCGCGGCGAAGCGGTGCGCGGTGCCGTGCGGTGCCATTCAGCAAGGCACCCCGCCGCGCCCCGCCGCGCCCCACCCCGTCCCGCCTCGCCGCGCCCCGCTGCGTGCGAGTAGGCAGCCCGCCACGCGCCGCGCCCCGAGGAGGCCGAGGAGGCCGAGAGCACCGAGAGGGCTCCAAGGCCGGCCGCGCTGCCTTCTCTATTTATTGACGGTTTTGGCGCGGCAATAAGTGGCCCGGGCAGGCTGGTTCAGGGCATCGCTTTCATCGCTATGTCTCTCTCGCACTCACAGGGGGGCGAGAGAGACAGAGCGGTTCGGAATGAGTCTGCTGGTCGCCCGCGAGCAGAAGAGCTCACACGGTCGTGCCGAGGCGACCCCCTGGCACGGCCGGGCCCGGCCGGGCACGGCGACGCGGCATCGTTTAAGCGCGATGTCTTTCGAGCTATTCGGGCGAGGAGAGGCGGTCGGGGCTGCAGGTCGCCGCCAGCAGAAGAGCCACACGGTGCGTGCCGCGGCGACGGCCCTGGCACGGCGGCCCGGGGCCGGGCACGCGCGAGCCCGTCGACTAGCTTTCAGCAGCCGCATACTTTGAGCGGCTTTCGGGCACGGAGAGGCCGTGGCGGCGTCAGGCCGCAGCGCTTGTCGAGCCAGTGGAGCCTTGCTCGCACTGCAGCAGGCCTTGTCGAGCAGGCCTTGTCGAGCCACTGGCCCTGTCGAGCGGCCTTGCGAGCAGGCCTTGCGAGCAGGCGACGTGTCGAGCAGGCCTTGTCGAGCAGGCCTTGTCGAGCAGGCCTTGTCGAGCAGGCCTTGTCGAGCAGGCCTTGTCGAGCAGCCTTGTCGAGCAGGCCTTGTCGAGCAGGCCTTGTCGAGCAGGCCTTGTCGAGCAGGCCTTGTCGAGCAGGCCTTGTCGAGCAGGCCTTGTCGAGCAGGCCTTGTCGAGCAGGCCTTGTCGAGCAGGCCTTGTCGAGCAGGCCTTGTCGAGCAGGCCTTGTCGAGCAGGCCTTTGTCGAGCAGGCCTTGTCGAGCAGGCCTTGTCGAGCAGGCCTTGTCGAGCAGGCCTTGTCGAGCAGGCCTTGTCGAGCAGGCCTTGTCGAGCAGGCCTTGTCGAGCAGGCCTTGTCGAGCAGCCTTTGCAGGCCTTGTCGAGCAGGCCTTGAGCCTGCGAGCAGGCCTTGTCGAGCAGGCCTTGTCGAGCAGGCCTTGTCGAGCAGGCCTTGTTTCGAGCAGGCCTTGTCGAGCAGGCCTTGTCGAGCAGGCCTTGTCGAGCAGGCCTTGTCGAGCAGGCCTTGTCGAGCAGGCCTTGTCGAGCAGGCCTTGTCGGGCAGGCCTTGTCGCCGCGACCCTCGGCCAGGCCCTGGTGGCCTCGGCCAGGGCGGCGTGCCGATCGGAATGGAAGGGGCTGCTGTGTCGTCCGTCCTCGTCTTCGTCATCGTCTTCGTCGTCACGTTCGGTTGGCTCAGTTTGCAGCCGTGGCGGACACGAAACGCCACCCTGCCGAAGCACCGCGCCAAACTTGAGCATGACAGTCATTAGCGCGGCCGGCGGCCACGTGACAGTCCGGCCGGAGTCCAGCACGACGATGTTGGGCGCGGAGCTCCGGAGCCAAGGTGGCCGTCAAAGCGACGCGCCAAACTTGACTTCGGAATCCCATTTGCCTGACTCGTGACGCCTCCCCCTGTCCACTGGCCGGCAGGCTGACTCCGGCCGAACGGCGTGCACTCTGTCTCTCTCGCACCGCTGGGGACGCCCCGAGTGCGAGAGAGACAGAGAGAGACAGCCTGCTGGCTACAAAGTGCACGGCCAGCCTCATCGCGTCTTGACGCGGGGCTTGCACTGCCGACTCCATGGTCTCGCTCGGCGCAGCGAACCTCTCCGCCAAGACACCGCCACGGCCGCCTCGCCGGGGCTCATCACGGCTTGTGCTCTTTGTCAATCAAGGCATGGCTGCAGGACAATTTTCCCAAAGCAAACTTCCCGAGGCTGTGAATTTGTTGTAATAATATTTGTTCTCCTTTAAAAGTTGAGTTTGGGATCGATCGATCGCCCCGAGAGCCGAGACACGATGCCTCTTTGCTCTTGGCCACCACAGAACGTAAAGACGCAGCCTGGAAGTGGAGGACTTGACGGGCAGGTGAAATTTGGCCAAATCGAAAAACAAGAGATAGGACAAACGATGAACACCGGCACCGGCGGTCTTCTTGTTCGGCCCGTTCAACTTATGCCGCCCCACCCCACCACCTCGCCGCCCTTGTGTAGCAGGCTGATGCCGTCTCTCTCGCACTCACGGGGGCGCGCCGTGTGCCGTTGCTGTGTGCGAGAGAGACAGAGCGACCCGCTCCTTGGCCGGCAATTGAGCGCAGCGGCGGTGCCTTTGACGGCGGCCAGGCCTGTATCGAGTGGCGCCTCAGGTGCGGCCCGGAATGGATCGGAAAGCCATGCCTCAGCGCCGCACACACGCACACACACACACACACACACACACACACACACACACGACACGCACGCGCGCGCACACAGGCGCACACGCGCGGAAAAACTGTATGATCAATATGATGCAGAGGGGAAGAGGCGGTGGAAAACTTTTATGATGAACGGGGCCGCATTCCGGCTGTGGGAACAAACCGCGCGAAAATTGAGGCAAACAAGGTAAAAGGAGCGGGCTTGGGCTGCAGTGGGGAAATGGGAGGGAGCGAGCGAGAGAGTGAGATGGAGATAGAGAAGAAGAGAGAGAGAGAGAGAGAGAGAGAAAGCGCGCGTGCGTGAAGTCCGTGTCCATACGCGTTTTCCGGTTGTCAGTAGAGCACTACGTTGTTCATGTCAGCGCAGGCAGCAGCACACCAGCCCGATCGGCGCAACTGGGCTCGTCCGCCAGTGCATACGCGCGGAAAAGAGGGGTGAGGGAGAGAGAGACGGCGTGACCTTCGAAGGCGAAGGGGCAAGGGCGACGCGCTGAGACCAATACCGTGTACCTGGAGGGCCGGATACTCAAGGTGGGGGCGAAAAAAAAGGGAAGCTGGGGTATTCGAACCCAGTCCCGGAGCGGGCCTGTCTATTCACGCCGAGGAGCGCGGGTCGGGTTACTAAATCAAGTCTCGCACACATGGCGGCGCTCTCTCCCCGGCGAGCAGTCGGGCGCGGCGCCGCCGAGATGGAAACTCAGAAGGGTGCTGGTTGTTTTCGTTCTATCCTTTCGGTCCTTTCGGCCGTCCGCAACCCGTTCGCCCCGACAGCTAGCGCTGCAGGTGGCCGTGAGGGGGCGGGGAGGGGGGTGTCTTTGATTCCGCTGCCATCCCCGTGGACCCTGCAGTGGCTCGGAAGAAAAAGTCGCAGAGTTAGGGCCGGGTCCCGAGTTGGCCAAGTTTTGAGATGCATTTTCGCGACCCTCGGACCGTTTCCTCCGTCCGCTCCGCTCCGTTCCGGCCCGCAGTGGCCTGCAGAGCGATTCCCGTCATCCCGAGGGGTCGTTCCGTCGCTCTGTCTCTCTCGCACCCGCACGGTACGCCCCACGAGTGCGACAGAGACAGAGCGACGAAAAGGCTTTTCGCAATCCGCCCGCTGGCCTGCCAGACCATGCCAGACGGCGGGGAGGCGATCCCGGCGGCGATTTAGGCCGCAGCGCCGGCGGGGCAGTGCCACGTAGTGCCATGTGAAAAATGGAGGTGGCCGAGGTTCGCCGAGGCCCGCGGGGACCGAGAGAACGCTCCGTCTCCAGTCTGGAGGCAGCGTTGGGCGATAGTTGATTTGAGGACATTTTCGGCAAAATCAGTTTTGAGCGACGGAAAGTAATTTTTTGCCGTTGCCGCGCCGCTCAAAGTCAACTTTGTTGCTGCAACTAACGCTTCTTCCCGCGCCACCCGAGGGAAACTATTTGCGACTCGGGGCGGCGCGCGGCGCCAAGGCCTGGCCAAGGCCGCCACGGCGACCCAATCTCTCGGGCGGCGGCCGCGCCATGGCCGCGCCATCGGCCAATCGGCGACCGAGGCCGAGGCGGAGGCACGCGCCAATCTGGCCAACTTTAATTCCAAGGTACGCGCCCCGCCGCGCCCCGCCGCGCCCCGCCGCGCGGACGGCCTGCTTGTGGGTGGCGGCGAGCCGCGGCGAGCCGAGCGAGCGGCGCGGGGCGTCCGATGCGCGTGGGTAAGCAACGCGGCGGCGCGGCGGACCGGATTCATCCGTGGATTACCCGGGCTAATCCACGCCGCCTCTGTAGGCTGATTCCGAAAAGCGCTTTCGCGTCTGTCTCCCTCGCTCCGGTACAGGACGCGCCACGAGTGCGAGAGAGACAGGGCGGCGAACCCGCTGGGCGGATTCTGCCTGGTCGCTTGCACCGCGGCGGCACGGCACGGCAGCACGATGGGCTTGGTGTCGGCCGCCGCGTCCCCTCCGGCGAGTGACGCGTGGTGGTCGCGGCGGCCCCGCGTGGCGGCTTGGAGGACGACGGCGAGGATGGGGGCGCGCCGCACCGCCGCACATGGGGCCCACACGTCGAGCCAGAGTGCCAGGGGATGAGCGGAGGAGACAGGGACGTCCCGAGCAGGCCGAGCAGGCCGAGCAGGCCCCGGGGAACCGCATTAGGCACGGGGCAGCGACCCGGAGCGACCCCGCCACCGCACAGCCCACCGCCCACTGCCCACCGCCGCCAAGACGGACAGGGACAGGCTGACACCGCCGCCCAAGTTAGGAATCCGATTTTCTCATCACGCCGTCACCCTGGGGCCACGCTGGGCCTGGGCTGGGCTGGGCCTGGGCTGGGCGTAGGGAGGAGTTCGCCCGGGGCCGCGCCAGATCAGCCGCGCTAAACGGATATGCTCACCCACACGGCATGTATTGGCACGCAGGCAACCCATGTGTCAACGGAGCGACACCCGCCACAGTGAGAGGGAGACTGGGAGAGAGCGAGAGAGAGGGTGAAGAGAGAGAGGAACAGAGAGAGAGAGAAGCAGGGCTAGGCGTGCACTTTGTCTAATTGAGAGCAGGCGAACGGAAAAAGGACACGACGAAGGACGTATTGGGGCTGCGGGGGACTGGGGCACGGGCCACTGGAGTGGCCAGGGCAGCAGAAGGATCCCGGCGCTCCATAAGGAACGCTGTATATTGCGGTGGGAGCCACCATGTTGTCCACTACATGCTCCCCCACACCACACACACACACACACACACCGAGCGCGGCAAGGTGTGAGGGCTTAGCGGTGTGTACGGCCGGCAGCGCAATCTACTCTGCGGGGCGAAGGCGGCGAAGGCGGCGAAGGCGAGGCGAACCCATCTCCGAGGCCTGTATCCTGTATGCCTTTGGTCCTCCGCTTCGGTCTTCACGCTGGCTAAGCCCGCCTCTCGGCCCCACCCGGGCCCACCCGGGCCGCCCCTTGGCGCGCGGCTGCGCGTGGCTGCGCGCGGCGGAGGGGATTCGCCCCTAATTAGTATCCTCACCTGATCCTTCCCAAGTCCTCACGGTCCTCACGGTCCTCACGGCTCTCGGCACGGGACACCACCACCTGGACACACAAAAAAGACGAGGGCTTGATTCGACTTGATTCCTTGGGGTACAATAAATAAATATTAAAGTAGAAATCAGAAGCAAGAAACACACACACACGGCCGCCATGCTGTCGCGGGTGGCGTCTCGCGAACCGTGTCGCGGCTGGCTGAATAATTCAAAGTACGGACGCGAAAAAAAGAAAGGAGAGAGAAAGGGGATAGGAAAGGGAGAGAGAGAGAGAGAGAGAGAGAGAGGAAGGGACGAAATGCAAAGCCCCGCGAGAGCGAGCCGCGCGACATGCAAGAGGATACCGATCGGCCAAATCCCCGTCTCTCGCAGACGGACTATTAAATGGGGGCGTGTTGGCGGGGCGCGGTGTGGGCGTGCGCAGCAGACTGATTCCGAGAGTCGCCTCCATCGCTCTGTCTCTCTCACACTCGTGGGGCGTTCCGTGTAGGTGTGAGAGAGACAGATCGACGAAAATGACTCTCAGTCTACAGCGGGCTCACAAATGGCGGGAGGGGTGGGGGTTGCCCTCATTAACGGGATGACTCAGCAGTCCGGGTGACTCGTACATCCTCGTCGCGGCGGCCAGCGGGCAGTCCAGACACGCGAGGGGCTCTCGGCCGTCGAACATGACAACGGGAACGGAGTCCCCGGGAGTCTCGCACCCCGGGCACACGCCGGAGAGGCACGGCCTGCGACAGATCTAAGTCGGCCTGTAGTGATTTACATCCTAAACGGCAACTCGCCCCCCGCCCCGAGCCCCGGCACGAGGCTATGGCCGAGCGATTACGAAGACTCATTTCGTCGCTCTGTCCTTGTCGCGCTCGCAGGGGACGCCCCGTGAGTGCGGCAGAGACGGAGCGACGGAACGCGGCTATCTTCGGAATCGGTCTGCTAGGTCTGCGGAGCTAGCGCCTGCGAGCGGCGAGCTAGGCAGGCCCGCCACACGCCGCCGGCCGGCGGAAAGCCTACCCTCGCCGTCGCGGGGCTCCGCCTTCGCCGCCTTGCTGGCTCACTTGGACGCCTCGTGATTCACGACCGCCGTGTGCCGCGGAGGGCAGGGCCCGGGTTCGAATCCCCATCGCGTCTTCGCTCTTTTTCTCCCGGATGCTCTTTACTTCCATGGACGCTTATTTTCCTCCCATTTTCTTTGGACGCGATAATTTCATGCCCTCCGGACGCAGCCCCGCCAGCGCTGCCAGCCGGCGATTGGCGAGAGTCAACAACGCCGGCGGACTTCAGCCTTTCTCCGCTCTCGGACTACAACTACTTCGCCGGACTGTTTGAGGAACTCTGCCTCGCCCAGCCTTGCGCAGCCTTCGCAGCCCGGACTGGGGCGGGGCGGGGCGGGGCGGGGTGGGGCGGGTCCGTCAAGTGTGCCTTCCTCCTTGACGCCCCGCCCCGCCTTCGCGCGTCACTTTTACTCGCCCGATGGGGCGCGCGCGCTATTCGGTCCGGAAACATTCATGGGAAAGTGAAATATTTTCGCGGAAGCAGAATAAAGAGACAAAAAGCGGCGTGTTGACCAACACCCGCCACCATTCTATCTTTTTCCCTTCGGCGTCTTCGGCGCGCAGTTTGTTATTCCCGGAGGCCGAGGAGGCCTCGGGGATGCCTGGCGATGCGGCAGGAGGCCAAAGTAGCGAAGTTGGAATGGGCGGGGCGGCGCGGGGCGGGGCGGGCCACGGCAGACGGTAGAATAAAAGCTTGAAATACAAGCTGGCCGAAGGGAGGAACTATTAACTGGGGCAGATTGCGCGCGGCAGGTCGCGCTGCCCTCTTTAATGACATGTCAACTTGACAGACGCGGTGACGACGCGGCGGCAACAAGTCCATCCAGCCTGGCCGCCCCACCGCAGCGGCCGGGGCGGGGCGGGGCGAGCGCCAGATTGGCGGAGAAGTAAAGTTTGCGCGCCTTTTCCCCGAAGTCGCCCGTCTCGGTCTCGGCCTCCTTCGCGGCGTCCACCACGCCCGCCACGCCCGCCGGGCCGTGAGGTAGCGCTGGCACCCGTCGACCTGTTGGCCCGTCGCGTCCCTCGCAGACCCGTCGGCCTGCTCATTAGTATGACGGGGTGCTCCGCAGGAAGCCCCCCGCCCCGCCCCGCCCCGCCCAGCGGCGAGAAAGGACTGCCTTTACGCACCGCACTACCGCGGCGAGCGACGCGGGCGACGGACGCGAGGTCGGCTCTCCGGGACAAAAGGCCTGGGGGGGGGGAGGGGGGGGGGCGCACTTGGCAGCAAAGTGGCGATTTGACACTCGCACCCCCGCGGGGCTTTACGCAGGGCCGGGCCGCCAAGCCGCGGCGCGAACTGGGTCCCGTCCACAGTCCACGCCCACTCGCCGGGCCAGGCTGCAGTCTGATGCCGGGAGCCGTTTTGGTCGCTCTGTCTCTCTCGCACTCATGGGGCGTAGGTCCACGAGACAGAGCGACGAAAACGACTCTCGGAATCGGTGTGCTGGACGCGGCGCGTGACGAGGACGTGCGACTTTGCCAGCAAAACTCGATGGCGGCCGAACGAAGCGCGGAGCCTTTGAATTAGCCCGGTTTTGTGTTGTTTCTGGTTTGTTTGTGGACGCTGGACGCTGCTGGACGCTGGACGCGCCACCTGGCTGGCCCAGCGCCAGGGAAGCGCTCTGCGGGCTCAACGGTCTCTCTCGCACTGGCGCCGTTTTGAAACGCTCGTCTTCTGCTTCGACCGCCGCCGCTTTGCTTGGCCTCGCCGACGGCCGTTTTCGGAAAGCTCGCTCGGGGCTGCGGTTCCCCTTTGGGCCCTTTGGCTTTGGCAGCGCTTTTTCATGCCGTCTTCCCTGCCGTGCTGCCTTGCCCGCCTCGCCAGCCTCGCTCATTATCTCCGTTTTAATTTACAGAAGCAGCACCGGCCGCCAAGGCAGAGCAGCCGCCGTGTGCCCGCCGCAGTGCCGCCCTGGCGACGGCCACTCACACACACACACACACACACACTCACAAATCGGTACAAACACGCCCCCTGCAAACACGCACACACGCGCCGGGATAATGAAGAGAAAAAGCTTGCCTTTCTTTGCACATCACGGTCTACTTCGCGTGCAAACTGGCAAACTGGCGCGCGGCGGGGAGGAAAACAAAAACCGAGTGCGCCACGCCGCGCCGCGCCGCCCCGCCCAGGCCGTGCCCCGGGCCGTGCCGCTGTCGTTGTGAAAAATTAAGCCCACAACAAGCAGCGCGGCCGGCGATTGTTTGGATTGTCACGCCCCCTCGTTCTTGTTGTTGTTGTTTGTCCGAGGAGGGTGCGGCGTTCGGCAGTTTTAATTGCCCACCAACGGGCGGGGCCGGCGTCGTCGTCGTCGTCGTCCCCTCGCACCGTCCTTCCGCGCGTTTGCTCCACCCGCCACACTCTGCGAGAACTCCTTGTGGCCGTTCCGCCAAACGTCGGGCCGTGCCAGTCGCGCCAGTCGAGTTGCAGCAACAAACTGCAGTATCAACAACAAAAACAACAACGGCAACTACGGCGCGGCGCGAGGAACTTGGTCCCCGGCACAGATAGAGTGTGGCGACGCAATTTGAGAAAAATGTGCAGAGAGCGGCGGAGACTTTTCCTGCGCGTTTCCAGTGGGGAGGCATCGCTTTCAAAGGCGTCTCATTTGCACTCATGAAAGTAATTAAAGCCATAGAAGGCAATGAAAAAAAAAGAAGCGAACAACCGGAGCAGATCATTACGTAGACTCACCCAAACTAGGCCCCCCTCAATTTTACCTACTTGAACATAAAAAAAGAGTCATTTAAAATATTTAATAAAAATATCCACGGTGGAACGTTGGACACCACGATCGTTCGCGCTTATGCGACACTTCCAATATTTCTGCAATTTTCTATGTCATATTTTTCCGTAAGTTACGAAACACAAACAAGTTGGGAGCTGGTATGTCGCTGCGCGCGTGTTTTTGGCAGTGCAGGCGGACTGGGACTGCCGCGTGACGTCACACGGCCGCTCTTTCTGCCCCTCCGCTTTCCTTTCCGTTCCTTTCCGCGGCCCTCTCCGCGGAGGAGGTCGTGGAGGACGTCGTCGAGGAGGTCGTCGCGGTGTTTGCCGGAGAGCGGATTACTGAAAGCGGCTTGATTCGCGCGTCGGGGCGGGGCGGGGCGGGGCGGGGCGGGGCCGGCCGGGACTTCCCTCCCCCGCGCGCCCCGGCGTTCACCTGCCTTTGTCTGCGCCTCGTGTTTTCCCCCACGGAAAGAAAATGTGTGTGCAGAGGAAGGCACTCGGGCCGAGGCTGAGAGCCGAGAGTTCTCCGGGGAGCCTTCCCATGCGGCACGTGCGTTGCAGCGCGCAGCGCGCAGCGCGTGCCAAGGCAAGGCTAGTCCGCGCGCCCCGAGACTGCAGCACCGCCAGCACCGCTCGGCCGCGGCAAACGGACCTGTCTCGGACACAAAGTCCAAGACTCCCAAACTTCAAATTTAGCGATTTCCAGTCGACTTTGACCACGGCTAGCCATCTCTATCCCTCCGCGAACCAACGCAACTCTACGCCGATCGTCGCTCTGTCTCTCTCGCACGGATGGGCGGCAACGCGCATCGGGTGTGCGTGAGAGAGACGACGGAGACCCATTTCGGAATCAACCTCCGGGAATAATTCATCTTTTCGGCGAACGGGCAGTCCGATGGGCGGCACCCTAATTGCTGGAAAGCAGATATTGAAAGCCAACTTCCCTGCCGTCCCGGCCGATGGAAATCAAGGTCGGCAGCGACGCGGCGGGGCAGTGGGTGGCAGTGGGTCGACGGGACGGCGGGGTGCTCCGCGGACGCGGTGTTGTTCTAGGCGGCGCGCACACGGCGCTGGCGTCGACCTCGGCCACGACGGCGATGCGGAGGCGAGGCGAGGCGACGGCCTCTTCGGTGCGAAAACACGCGCCGAACGGGTGAGTCAACGCGGGGAGCTTTCTTACGAGCGCCTCGGGGGCGGCTGGCGGCGGCTGGCGGCTGGAGCGAGGGCTGATGGAGGCCGCCCTTGGCATCGGTACTCTATGGGGCC